ATCTCTGTGTTCGTGGGCCTTTTCTTTCTTTTTTTTTTTTTTTTTTTTTTTCCAACTAGACATTGCTCCACTTTTGCATCATGTGCGGGAAGAACATCAACAGCATTGAAGCCAGTGGACTCGGCTCACATCCTCACACCTGCACTAACATAACAACCCGTGATAACTGGCCCCACAACTAGCCAGTCACATTATCAACCAGCCAGTGAAAACAAGATAAGGGTTATCATCTTCACATTCCAGAAGGTCCCATGTGCAGGTAGTGATGTGCCAGCCAACTAACAGAGTTCCAGAGGACCCCTCCCATTCCTTATTTTTTCCTCTTTTTCTTTTTTTGGGCCACTCACATCCCCATCAATCCCGTTCCAATCAATTTGCGCAGCGCATCGCCAGAAACGATTGGACGCGATCTGTGCGGATTAGACATCAACCGAGTTATGGTACAGCAAACGAATGAGATCATACACACTGTTATACGTCCAGTATGGCATCATCTACCCATTACAGTTGCTTTTTGAGCAGACTGCCACACAGAACAGTCTGTCTGTCTGTCTGTCTGTCTGTCTGTCTGTCTGTCTGTCTGTCTGTCTGTCTGTCTGTCTGTCTGTCTGTCGGTCGGTCGGTCGGTCGGTCTGTCGGTCTGTCTGTCTGTCGGTCTCTCAGTCAGCCTATCTGCCCGTCCATGTCATCTGCCAAGCATAACCCGCAACGATTGGGCGCACTCTGTGTGAATCAGATATATGGTGCCAACCGGGCACGCAACTGAGGGGTAGGAAAGAGATCCCGAACACTTATCTATCCGGTACTCCATCATCTACCCATTACAATTGCTTTCGGCAGACTGCCACATAGAGAAGTATCTCCTCCCATCCTTGTCCGATTCTCACAAGGCACTGCCATCTGCCTTCGAGTGCACTTCTAACCACATAGCAATTGCCATGCGCAGCCTCCTTCATCGAAGAATGTCTACCATCGCCTCCTGGTTCTATAAGCGAATGAATGAGAGTGTAGCATGAGTTCTGCCCAACTGAACCCTAACCACAGGAGATGGATGTTGTATGCACTGCGGTGGACGCGCGGGAACAATACTTCTCACCCCCCTTAACACCACGTGAAATCTAGAACCTTACAATTTGCACTCTCCACGTGAACGACACAGTCGACTCAACTGAAATGCTGCAGGATGTAACATGTCAAAAAACATGTGACTGAGCCTACAGTCGTTCTAGGCAAAAATAAACCCCCTGGTACCACACAAAGCGCCTCGCTCCTCTCCACATACACAAAGACAAAAATCATGACGGTACATCTTCCCACGTTCTAGCAGAAGATTCATCCTCATTTTGCACAATTGGTGAGTAGCGGAGCAAGGAGGCCTAAACCCGCACCTTTTATATTAAAAAAAAAGTCATCACGTTCCCGCCGTTGTCAGGGACCAACCAGAGATTTACATTGTACTTTGCACTGTTAGTTCCTGGGCAAATTGCAGAGAGGCCCCTCTTCCGAGTGGAGAAGGATACTCAACAGCCACTCTTCCACTTTTAAATCCTCCTCGGAGTTCTGGGGCCAAATCTTCCACACTCTAATTTTTTCGAAGTGACAGCGCCGGCTCTGGATCCCAGCCAATAAGGGCAAGGAACGCATACCCGGCAAGAAAGGCGAAAGGGCCGGTACACGCCCGCAAGAGCGGACCAACCCCTCCCRCCCAAAATCCAACTACGAGCTTTTTAACTGCAACAACTTCCACAGGTTATACATTGGTCGTTGGGCGAGCGGACCCAGGAGCCCGTCGCAAAATCCGTGGTGGACTTCATCAGTGTCTTCCAATGGGGAGGAATGGCCTGCACCACCTTGTCCAGGTTACTCGGAACATGGCGTATGCGGGGCAACCGGGAGCGTAACTCGTCTCCTGAGATCCAGTCTTCTGTATCTGTGTCCCATAGGTGTTTGATGTTCTGGATAATGCCTCTTTCGATCCATGTCCGGCCAAAATTTCCCACCCCTTCCCTAGCTGAGAAGGTATCCGCGTTTGGCAGACGGAGGAACTGATTGTCAAACAGATTCTGATTTGCTGTTTCCAGCCTAGTAGTGGTTGGGGCCATAGTGTCCACTGAGCAGAGCTTTTTTCCAGGCATACAGAATATTCCGCCATGTCGTAGACTTTTTTACCCTCCTGGTGACGAAGGAGGGGGTCCGGCAGCCCTGCCAAAAGCTTCCTTCGATGCTCAAAGACCATTCTTGACCCATGATGTGTTCTCCAAAGTGTATCCACGGCTTAGCAAGGTTGTCGAACATGCCCTTGATTATCCATTTTGCCAACAAGGATAGGTTTTGCATTCGTGGGGGTCTAAAATGCCTAATCCCCCTTCCGCTCTAGGGAGAGTAATTGCTTCCCATGCCACTTTTGCGATGAAACCCTCCCTGCTCTTCTTCTGCTGCTGGCTTCCAGAGATACCAGGCCGCCGCTCTGCGAATGTTACAGTAGGCTTCATCCCCCAGTAGGCAGATCGATAGAGGAAACTGTAGTCATTTGGTTTATTTCAGTCGTTGAAAGTTCGGGTAAGAGTGTAATAGATTGGCGTTTTATCAGGTTCTGACAGTCGTACCAATAATCAAGCACGGGGGCTGCTGAAATAGGGCTGGGCTGATAGATAAGGGATGCTTCAAAAAAGGGAAGGGGGACACTAGCAGCTCCATGGGATAACGGAGCCCCGGGATGAGTCATTAATAACCACAGCCCTACGAATCAACAAACTCCAATCGCTGTGCTCCATGATGACATTGTATGTATGGGACTCTGGAACCCGTTTCCAGCAGGTGCCGCTCCCCACCAATAGATGGAGCAGCCCGACAGATAAGCCCTCAATTCAGACCGTTCTAGTACTACCGCCAGAATAGAGGGATATCGCAATGGCTATTCTCGCAAAAAAAAAAAAAAAAAAAAAAAAGGTTCTGGGCCTCTGGCCCTTACTCCTCTTGTACTATTTTTTTATTTTTTTATTTTTTTCCGTGTGTTTCAGCAGGTATTTTGAGAAGAATAGAAGTATAGAAGCCAACAGAGCTTTGGGACGCTGGACCCGGTTTCCGGTCTAGGTGAATGGGGCTTGGCCCCTCAGGCTCATCCGAGTTGAATTGCGAGGTCCCCGGCCTCCATGGGTACTCTGTTTCTTAAATAAATTTGACATCTTCTCAAAAAAATAAAAAATAATTACAAAAAAAAAAACGAACTACCTCTCTTTTTTTCTTTTTTTTTTTTTTTTTTTTTTTTTTTTTTTTTCCTTTCATAAAAAGAGTACCTGTCATTTCACCAGGCCAGAACTCCGAGGGAAAGAAAAAGAAAACCGGAAAAATAAAATAAAAAATTGAGAATGATAATTCTCACCCTACCCTTGGGTTGGCCCATTGTTGAATCTGATAACCGCATTGTGGCGATCAATTGCTTCTCCGTATCTGTCTAGCAGCAGGGTCCCACTGTTTCCCACGACGGCACAGTTTTTGAAATTCCAGAAGCTCGTAACGTCCTGATGGCATTGTGATATCCAACAGACAAAGAAAAGAAATTGAGCTGTGGGCCTCGCTCCACTACGCAACATACTACATGCAGTTGGACGCTTTCTGGACTAGGTGCATTCAGACGAGTGCAACATTGTGAATGCATCGGGACGATAATGCTCTCCAGATACATAGTAGAGTGGTGTAGTGGAAGGAGGCCCTGTATCCCAACTGGGAACTTCACACCAACGCCTTTTTTTTTCTAATTAAAAAAAAAAAGAGAGACATAATTGAGTGGTGTAATGGAACGAGGCCCTGTATCCCAACTGGTAACTCCACACCAACGCCCTTTTTCCTAATTAAAAAAAAAAAAAAAAACAAGGCTCCTTCTGTTCTGCGGAGAAGCAGTCCAGTTCCTTTTCCACCGGCAAGTCAAACAAGATACAACCGATACTCACCCACGCTCCTCCCCATTATGGCTGGGGGTTCCGAGTGGACGGCATTGATTACTTTCCTTGGGGAGGATATACCCCCTCCCCCCCCCTCCCCCCTGACCCCTGCCTAAGTTAGCCTCATGCCTTGTAAGTCACCAAATTGTTCCTTCTGTCGCTGCGTGTCCCCCTGTCGGCAGTGCCAGTGCCAGACGGCTCTGGCTCCCCGGGATACCCCGGGACCGGGATACCCTATCCCCGGGGGGCTAGCTGCCGTTCCCCATCTATGGTCAAGCGCCCCGAGCTAGAACAATCTCCTATCTGCCCCAGGGGTGCTACTGGCATACTCCTCTACTCATCTTGTGACCAATTGTCCTGGCATGCCCTTAAACCCTAAACCCCAAATGAGGGAGGACTCTCTTCCCAAGACTCCGCCCCCTCACACTGCAGGTGATATGGGGAAGAGAAGATGCAAGGACACTATCCATGCCCGAAGCATTTCAATGACAGATGTGATACGCTAACCTCACCCCCCCCCAGCCTCCTGCCGCCAGCCTACTGAAGCTATATTATGCACCCGATTACCCCCTACGGGTGCTTCTCATACATCTACTCTAAGCCCTTCTCCAAAAGTCAACCCCCCATTCGAGTCCGATTTGGCAAAACAATGGTTCCTTCTACTAGCCGATGTACGAAAAAAACATCTGCAACCCTGCACTGAACCCCCTTTACCACATCTGTTCCTGCGCCGATCCATCTGAACCTGGTCACGAATTCTTCCAAAGATCAGCAAATTAGTCTCTGGGCATCGGACCATACATACCCCCTAGACTCGAAGGGTGCCCACCGTAGCGCTGTTCCGAGATAACGGAGAAGAGATTACACTGACCTGCAGACTTGGCTCCGCCAAGGTCCGTAACGGAGAAGAGATTACTGACCTTCAGACCGAGACTACGAGATAAGTGCCATTCATGAAGGAGTAGTTGGCTTGGCTACGTAGCCAACTACTACTTCATGAATGGCACTTGTCTCGTAGACCGAGTCCCAAAAGAACCCATTGGTCTCCTCACTACCGTTCGCTTCGCAGCCCGAGAGACTATCCCAATGGGAGTCCCAAAGAGAGTCCCCCTACCATTTCCAGATCCTCTTCGAGCGAGGCCGGACAGCCCCACAGAAGGTGGGAACCGTGGACTCACTCAAAGACCCATACACATACACATAGCTTGGATTTCACCTCAACAACGTCCCTTCCTCTACTTGTGAGCCAAACTGCTGAAGGAGTCGCCCACAGTGAGAGCAGCCACTCTCAATGTTGGCATGCTGTCGACAGCGGAGGCACTCCTACCCAGAACAGAACATTCTAGATCTGAATCCCACCAAGAAAACATTATAATAAAAGAAAAACCCGAAAGTTGAAAGCTGAAGAAAAGATTCGAAAAACAAGAAATCTGAAAATTCAAAACTCAGACCACACAAAGCATTTAAGTCAGAAAATAAATGCCCCCCCCCCCTTCCCTTCCTCTCCTTTCCCACCCCTTTTGAAAACGGGACATAAAAACCGCTTCGTCTACCCTCCCCAGAAAAAAGGAAAAAAAGACAAAAAGGAACGATGTTAGATAGAGAGGGGGATTGCACAGGATGGAGGAAATGAGAATTAATAAATTATTATTAAAAACAAAAGAACTGATATCCAAATGCAAACAAACAAGCAGAGAGAGACAGAGACACAGAGAGAGAGAGAGAGAGAGAGAGAGAGAGAGAGAGAGAGAGAGAGAGAGAGAGAGAGAGAGAGAGAGAGAGATTTGATGAAAGGGTGGGGTCAGGTACCTTATCAGGAAGAAGGTGTCCAGGAGTGTCAAACTGTCCCCAGTGCACATTCTCAGGTCTACCCTGTTTGAATCCAAATTAGGAAAAACGAGTCCAAATCAGGAAAACGTCAGAATCAAAGAAAACGAGATTGAATTTTTTCATTGGTGAGAGTCAACAAACAAGAAAGGGAAGTACTGAATAACATTTCTGAAAAGTCGATTTTTTTTTTTTATTATTATTATTTTTTAATATCAGTTGTCCAGTGACCGAGTTTCAAAAAAAAAAATCCCTCCTCGGAAAGATGTACGCACCCCTCCTCAAAAAGTAAATTGGCCTTATTAACCCACCACCACCACTACCTCCTCTTGAAAAATCTAGCCAACAGAAGAAGAAAAAATCCTACAGAAAAATAAAAATAAAAAATGGAAAAGAACTGGCGCTCGTCGGATCATCAATCCAACGGATCAACAGAAAAAGGGCCGGCATCCTTAGAGATAAAGGATGGCAAAATCGTCAATACATCAATCATCAATACATCAATCATCATCGTCATCAATACTCATAGTGGTCATCATCATCATCATCATCATCATCATCATCATCATCCTTGTCACGATGATCAGCATCATAAATAAGTGCCGCCCGGAATGACGATGATCGTCATCATAAGCGTTATTCGATACTTTTTTTTTTTTTTTTTTTTTAAGAGAGTAATTCGGTAGTGGCGTCTTCACTGTCCTAATAATCATCATCGAACTGGCGGGGCAAACGAAGAGGGAGAGAGTGGATGGTATTCGTTATTTCTTTTTTTTGTGAAAGGCAAAATACCGAGCGTGCTGGGTGGGAAATCCGTTAAGAGTGAGAGCAAGTGTGGACTTACAGATGGGATTTTCACAAAAAAAAAAAAAAAGAGAGAGAGAGAGAGAAGGTGTGAGTAGGATCATCTCCGCGAGTTCGAACGGCAAACCACTCGTCCTGTCTGCAGCGAGTTTCCCGCCAAGTTTCGATCGCCATTTCCCGCCAAGTTTCGATCGCCGTTTCCCGCCAAGTTTCGATGGCAGCGATCGAAACTTGGCGGGAAACGACGAAACTTTGTCATAGATTATTTTGACTGCCATTAATTGCATTCTAGATTCTTTGCTGCTGGAGAGGGAAGGGAGGCAGGAAGGAGAAGGTGGGGGGGGGGGGGGGAGGGGGGGGGGGGGGGGGGGGGGGGGGGGGGGGGGGGGGGGGGGGGGGGGGGGGGGGGGGGGGGGGGGGGGGGGGGGGGGGGGGGGGGAGGAAAAGGAGGTTGGGTGAGGGAGGGAGTGGGCGAAGGAGCAGGGGGAGCGAGAGGGGCGCAAGGAAGGAGGTGGGGAGGGAAGGCGGCGAGGAAAGACGGGAGAGAGTGAAGGAGTTGCTTAATTTGTGTCTGGAGTTATTGATATAATTTTTTCGATTAGGATGGAATGTGATTGAAACTGCCCACCGCTCTCACCCGAATAGAACGCCCGGTCATAATCGCCGTATCTAGACTTAAACGGTGCAGGGAATGCAGCTATAATGACCGGGCGTTCAAATTCGCAAAATTCATTGAAGATGGGCAATTTTGGTCCAATTCGCAAAATTCATTGAATCCACTAGACTTGATCAAATTCGATGGAAATCCCGGTTTGAATTGAATTGATTGACGTGACTCACTGAACTGAACTGATTGATTGGTTGTTTGTTTGATTGATTAATTGATTGATTGATTGGTTGGTTGATTGATTGGTTGATTGATTCAGTCCTTCATTAATTGTTAGATTGATTCATACATTGATCGATTCATTCATTGATTCATTCATTGGTTCATTGTTAGACTGATTGATTCATTCATTCATTCATTCATTCATTGATCGATTCATTCATTGATTCATTCATTGATTCATTCATTGATTCATTCATTGGTTCATAGTTAGATTGATTGATTGATCAATTGATTGATTGATTGATTCTTTGATTGATTGATTGTTTGATTGATTGATTGATTGATTGGTTGATTGATTGATTGGTTGATTGATTCAGTCCTTCATTCATTGTTAGATCGATTCATTGATTCATTGATTGATCGATTCATTCATTGATTCATGCATTGGGTCATTGTTTGATTGATTGATTGATTGATTGATTGATTGATTGAATAGAGTCAGGAAAGATGAAGTCACGTACCTTGTGAACTACAACCCTGGTAACGTTTGTTTTTCTCCACCTGGGAGTGCCAGGAAGCAGCAGGTGTTTTAAAATAGCACCTGCACGCACGCATCATTGCATCGACAAGTCAATATCCCACAGCCCAGCTCAGGAAGGATGATCAAACCATCAATGGAAAGACACTTAGCAGCACGGTAGAAGCCGGATGATCGATAACCCACCCCCACCTGTTGTCGATATTCTTGGAGAGAGACATGAAGCACGTCTCTGTGCGTTCTCGTCTGTACAGACGTCATAAGTTGGTCAGTGGTCCTAAGTCGGTATACCGACAACCTGTCTATATGTGGTACATAAAGCACGTCTGTCTGTGGTTCGACACACTCATATGCCACAGACATTCCGTCCTACGGACAGAGACAACCTACCCTCCTTAGATAGACACCCTCCCCCCCTCCTGACAGAGACAACCTACCCTGACAGACACATACAATACATACATACATACAATACATACATACATGCATACATACATACATACAATACATGGGGTAATTGCGGAAATAACGCGTTTTCGAAGTTTCGCAGCAGAAATGTTGAAGGGGTCCGAAAAAAGATGTATTTTTGCAAGGAAAGTGGGACCCCGCCTGCAAATATTTGAAATTAGCTGTGAAACTACCGGGACCTCTAGAGCTGCAACGAAAGATATATTTTTGCAACGAAACGTGCACCCCACCAATATTTTTGGTGTGAATCTACCGCGATGAGCTATTTTTGAAACTCACCCTACATACATACATACATATATATTTGACGATATATAGGTATATACTTACATGCATGCATGTGTGTACGTACGTACGTACGTACGTACACACGTACATGCATGCATGTGTATACGTTAGTACGTCGGACTGGTGGATGGACGACGTAATTGAGAGTCTGGGATTATTATAGATAAAAAGGAATGAAGTGCCGGATTTGACAAAAGCAAATGCGTTTCGCTGCGCCTCAGCTACCAAGGGTCCTCATCCATCAGTAGATAGGCGTGGCGGATAGAATAGACAATCGCTGGATAGATGAATGGATGGACAAACAGTACATAGCATACGTCAGCCTCGCAAGGTGAGCGTATAGATCGATGGACATAGATACATCCACAGTGATATATATATAAAAAGATTATCTTACACTAAGAAAAGATAGATAGATAGATAGATAGATAAAAGGAACGGAAGCTCTATCAATCGGTACAGCTCCGTACCAATTGATAAGAGGTCCCTGTCTTGAGAGTAACGAGGGAAAGAGAGGATGACGCCTATGAGCTGTAAAAAGAAGGGAAAACTCGGAACGGGGGGGGAAGGGGGAAGGGAGGGGAGGGGAGTTGGGGGGAGAGAGCGGAGGGAAAGAGAGGAGGGCGACAGGGGCGGGGAAAGAAACTTCTGCCAAGCGCTAGAAGGCCCACGGACAAACGCAACCTGACCATCGATGTGACCATCAGTGGCCATCACATCATATCCCTTCTTGACTACCGTCGATTTCATTGCATCAGGATCTCGATATGAGTTAGGGTTTCTTACCTATAACTTCCTCGTTCGATGTCCTCTCCTTCGGGGCTGCCTTATCCCCTCCTCCACCACGATGACCTCCCTCTCCGCTCCCATCCCCCCGCACCAGCGGCGGGGATGCCCGCCCACCCAGCCTCCCTTCGGAACTGACGCTGCCTTTCCGCTCCCCATCCTCCCCAACTCTAGCGCCACCGACAACAGCTGCGCCTTTTTCTCCGCCGACTCCCCCCGACCTCGAAGCAGAAACCGACGACGCGTCGTTCTCACTCTCGTGCCCATCAGCGTCGCCATCACGACTCACGCTCCAGCCTGCGCTCTGCCGGTTGGTTTCCTCTCGGTTGTTTTCCTTTTCCCCCCTCTCCGCTCCCACGAAAACCACCTCCCTCCCTGATTCTCTCCCCTTCACTTCCACAAAGCAAACAGACCACAGAGAGCACAACAAAAGAGAGCAACAATGGGCCTACTAGCTCAGTTCGTACACCCATCAAACTGTTGACGTTCCAAACCAGAGGCAACCAGATGAACATGAGTAATAATATGATTCTGGGGCTGCTCAGCTCTAATGTGACATCTTTTTTTTTTTTTTTTTTTTAATAAATTAAGATATATTTTCTTCTCTCAATTTCACCTTTCACTATCTACCTACCACTACTCCAACAAAGCCGTCTTCGGATTTTTTTCGAGATATTTTTTCACATGTTTCGGCTGCGTTTGCGGCTATGTGTTTTGCGTTCGCGTCGGTTCTATCCGACTCTACTTTCTCTATTACTACAAAGCCGTCGCCGTTTTCTAAAGAGAAAAAAGACAAGAGATTAACTGCACCACCACCCAGCATACGTCAGCTTTTTTTTTTTTTTTTTTTTTTTTTTTGGCTCCTTTTTGTGAATTGTCCCATTCTTTGTGACGAGTACAAACAAGGACCTGTCCTTTCCCCCCCCAAAACAGCAAAGTGTCAGCAACGATAATATCCGAAATTTGAACGGCTATGATGTGTCGCAGGAACCCATCCGCGTTTCTCTCTTTTTTTTTTTTTTTTTTTTTTTTTTTCAACCACATCCCGGTGTCCCTCCGCCGTCCAGGGTTGTCCCTGGCTGGTGCACCCATCCGCCCATACGCGTTTCTCCCACACAAGATAATGTTTTTGTTGACATCAGTCAGATATGCCGCAGGCGAGATGTGGATCACCACACGGACTGGAGGGCCTCGCTCCGCTACTCCCCACATGCAGAAAAGACAAAAATATTGCGGTGCATCTTTCCGTGTTCTCGCGAAAGATTCATTCTCATTTGCACATTTGGTTTGGTGAGTAGTGGAGCGAGGGCCATAGACTATAAACGAACAGGGCTGCTTGTCCTCCACTCCCCCTTCCCCCTCCCATGAGCCCCCCCTGCGGCCTTCCCGCTCCTCCCTTCGGGATCTCCCCCTTTTCACCCTTCTACCCC